TTTGGGCACACTTTCCAAGTTTAGGGTGTTTTAGTTTTAGACATTTTCAGGTCTAAATATTTGTGGATGTAAATTATTCTGCAGAATGACAATAGTGATACAGCAGGTTGGGCTGCCTGTGTAAACTCAGCTTGTTACCAATAATGAACAGAGATATATCAGTTATTATATGTGCGCTTTGTTTGATTAGAAACTTGGCTTATGCGACTTTCTGACGTTTTCAAACAAAAAAATAATGTTTCATGAGCATGCTAGATGCTACATCCTTACATTAAGTGCCCCCAAAATAAGCTACTTAGCACCAGTAGTTACAAAGCTGGACGATGTGGCTTTATTTTGAAACGTCAAAACTGTTTTTAACAACTACAGAGGTTCAAACATGAGTACATGGCGCGGCTAGCCATATGTGCTATTTTCCGGTTGCTAAGCTAATGTTAGCGAACAACTTCCTATTTGATTCCTTTACCCCCTAACACGGTTTCTACACTGTACGTTATTTACACACATGTACATTAAAGCAAGGGACTTTTAACTTACCATTTTAACTAGCTAATTAACACTAAAGCACCCGCCTCAGACGACAGTTATTGCTATCACGAGCGCCGCTTCGTTTCTATAGTAACTGTAGTGACAAACCAAGGTGCGTTCAAGAGCCGTGGGACGTTCCACTAACGGTGTTTGTTCATAAACCCCAAAAAAAAACAAAAAAAAACTTGTTATAGTTATAATATTAATCACAAAATCTTAGCGATGACAGTTAGATAATAAAAGTTATCATTAAATATAGTAAACAATAAATATCCTATCAGTTAAACCGGCTTATCACACTTTAAAAGAGAAAACTGCGACTCTTAAACTGAACTTTAATTTTTAGGGAAAAAAATAATTCAAGTAAGTGATTAAGAGTTATATTTAAATATAAGCGAGCTAGTCATAATTTGTCTGTTTTCATCGTGCATTCATCATGTACTGTTTGTGTAACGCGCCATCTAGTGGTGGTCTCTGAACTTTGTGAGTGTCGTAATCAGCCTCTAGTTTTCAAATTTCCGGATGACCATGAATGCAACATAGTGACCCCGACGTMACCCGGAAAAACAACGAAGATGCGCTGAGAATCTCTCTGACTGCTCAATCAGTCTCGCTGATTTGAGAATATGCAGAAGAAGTAAAAAAATAAAAAATTAGGACTTAATCTCTGCATCTTTACATGGATTCCTCAGCTCGTCTTAGACATTTAATACGTGAAAACAAACCACTTATCTTGGACGGAGGACTAGCAACTGAACTAGAAGCGCAAGGAGCCAAACTACAGGTGAAACTAATAAACTTTTATTTACCTACATTTATTTACCTACTTGTGCCACTATACCATTACCATTAAGGCTGCAACATATAATTATGTGTGGCAAGCCGTTGTATTCRCAAATAATCCTAGAAATCGCCCGTCTGGTTAACTTTTTACATATACGACTGCGCATGCGTCAAACAGGGGACCACGCCCTCAAAAAGGTTCACAGCTCTCCAGCTTTCATGAGTTTTATGGTATTTTAGGTTATGATGGCTAAACGCCCTCAGCATGTAATGTTAGCTGTCAGACTGAAGAGCTGAAACATAACTAAATATGATAACTGTTTAGATCAGTGGTTTTTTAAACCTTTTAGTTTCTGGTCCACAAACTACCTGTTGCAGAAAGACCCCAGACATCACTGGTATGCAATATTTGCTAATAACCATCTAACATGTGCATAATAACAGTATAAACAAACCTAACTATGATGCAACTTTTAAACATTTGTTATTGTTGTTACATAGTTTTATGCAGTAAYTCATCTGGGGACCCTCACTTGATGTTTCATGACCCACAGAGGGGTCCATACCCCAGCTTTAGGACCCACTGATTTAGACTGAGTGTATTTCAACAACCTACATGGACCACAATGCATTGCAAAATACTGTCTTTGGGCTGTGCATTAGTAGCTGTACACATTCAGTAATTTGCTGGTGTAGTTTTCTATTTATGTACAATAAATGCAAGAGTCAAACTCTTTATAAGACTCCTGCTGATTTGTTTAAACTCTTGGGATAAATGATACTTTTAAATGTTAATAAAATGTTCTGTTYGTAAAACCGTCCAGAACAGTGATTTTTCTTGTCAGAACATGTTGCTGTCTCTTTGGGACTCTAATATTTGTGTTGCTGTTGTGTTACGGTCCCTCTGTTGTTATTCTGACTTTCTAACTCTCTGCAGGAACTTTACATTTCTTAGTTTTGTGAAGTTTAAGGCACGTTGTCTTTGTGCATGAACCACTGGAAAATAAATGTTTGTACTTTAATACACAATGATATTAATATCTCCTAGTTTTTACTATTAGCTCAGTCCTTGGGCATTTACATTTTACCTACAGGTATAAAGTTTCTGCAAGTTAGCATTAACTCAAATTATAGTTTACTGTAATAAATACATAAAGTCAGTATTTTTGCACAACTGAAACTAAACATGATTTGTCTCACATGGATGATGATGCTTCTCATTTAAAAGAGCAGAAATTTACTGGAAGACTTTTACTGAGATTGAAACATTTAGAAATTTTAAAACACCTCTCTCTCTCTCTCTGTCTCTCTGTCTCTCTCTCTCTCTCTCTCTCTCTCTCTCTCTCTCTCTCTCTC